GATAAAATAAAAACTGAGAAAAACAATTGCGGGTAAAGCCGAGCACTGAAATAATATTCCTGTTGATCCAGGGGCGTGAGATGTTGACAGATTCAGCTCGGCTGCATTTGAAATATGTGGGTTGACACCAGTCTTGGTTTTTGTTTTTTTTTTTTTTTCTTTTTTAATTGACTGCGTTTAGTTAAGCTCTTGAACAATTTTGTCACCAAATACTGAAAAAGGGAAGTAAAATTTTTGAAACTAGGAATTATATGATGTAACAAATTCACAACTTGAAGGCATCTCCGATTTCTCTGATACACGAACAAACCGTTTCCTTAACAATAAATAAATTAAACAAAAATAAAATAATCCATTTTAAACTTCTACATATTAAATCAGGCTACGTTGTCTTAATTCTCTTCGCACACACACACACACACGTGTGTGTGTATGTATGTGACTACACTGTTGTACGGCTCAGAATCATAGAACCCATATAGGTCCCATACTCATCAGTTGGATGTCTTCCACAAAAGTTATCTCCGCACGATCTGTGGCTATACTTTTGATGATATGGTGTCGAAAGCTGATCTTCTCGCAAAATGCAACATCGGTAGAAGTGAGACTTTCCTAATGCTGGGCTGGTCCTATTGCAAGGATGAATGACGACAGAATACCTAAGGTCCTCATGTATAGACAGCTTGACATTTGACAAAAGATTGTTGGACGGCCGTGACTCTGGCATAAAGACAAGCTAAAGAGTAACCTCTCGACTGTCATGCTAACTTCGAGCGAGATTTCCTGGATAGAAATAACTGGAGATATTTATGCCAGATTGGTATCAGAAATTTCGAAATCAGTTGTATTGACCAGATGCTGCTATATGTGGACTTTTATACAGGTCCCTAGCGGGACAGAAGTGTCACATACGACACAAACATAAAAAAAACTGAATGAGATTGTCGAATCCTCATACGTCGAAATCGAAGGGAGAGTCCATCAGCACATACACACACACATTTTATATATATATATATATATATAACGAGTATCAGATTTGGTATAATTACTTATAGTTACCAGTATTTACTCCTTAGTACAGCACAAGATTTAATACTGTTTAATTTTCTTCTGATACTAACGTATAACCTCAGTCTAACGTTTTCCGCTGATATGTATTGGAACGATTATATTAAATCATTTGCAACTAAGAAAGTTGATTCACTATATTGTGGTACACAATTTTTTTTTTTTTTTTTTTGACTATAACTGTAAACTACATACGGCAACAAGATCTCTGATCGGAAAGTTTTGAGCAACGTGGAACCACCTCTTAATTGCTGTTACCAAGTCTTCTCTGACCCGGAGTGATAGTACCTGTTTGGGTCCCAGCTATGGGCAAATAGTTGACTCCACCCCAAACTGAGGTCAAAACACCATGAAAGATTTAAAATATATTTTTATAGTAAAAATACTAGTAATTTTTTTTTTTTTTTTTGAAAAAAATATATTACCACCTTTTATATTATGAAAAAAAATTACCAGCAATACATTTGACTGTACAAAGATACGTCAATGAAAGCTTATCTACGAACGGATTTCTTACAAGGAATACATTCTATTCATACGAACCTATCCTAAAATGATACACTACATACGCGTCCTGGGTAAGACGATAAACTACATCCGGCAACGAGGCCTCTGATCGGAAGGTTTTGAGGAGCGTGGAATCACCTCTTAATTGCTGGTTTTCCCAGGTCCAATTTGACCCGGGTTGCTAGCACCTATTAGTCCCAACTATGGGCAAATAGTTAACCACCCCCCGCCAATCTGGGGTCAAAACACTATGAAAATGTAAAAATAGCTTTTAATACTACCATTTTTTTTTTTTTTTTTTTTTTTTTAAGGAAAAATTATTACCAGCAATACATTTCTGCAAAAAATATTACCAGCAATAATAATCTTGTCGACGTTAAATAAGCCATTGAATTTAAAGGAAACGAGGTCTCCTTATTTTACTGTTGATATAGCTATCACTGTAAGTTCTATTCTAATAGTTTCTTCTCACGCACTTCTCGCCTGTGCAACTCTCTTCCGGCCTTTCGCTTTCCTGTCAACTACGATCTTCCAAAATTTACAACGTCATCATCTTCTGTCTCCTTGAATCCTTTTCTTTTATTGCCTCTCTCTCTCTCTCTCTTTAGTGGCTTTGTCGCAATTTGGATGAAACGATTAAAAAATACTTTACTCAATTACATATGTGTTCACTCAATCGTGGATTTAACCTGAGTATACATACACGTGGCCGTGTGGTTAGAACGTTCGCTTTCTGACCATGAGAACCGGTTTCGAATCTCGGGAAGGTAACTTCTTGATGTTATCGGTATGAGGAGACCCCAGCGTGCAGAAAAGTACCTGAAAACATTGTGAGTGAAGTTGAGTAGACGGAACCTTCTTTTTTTTTTTTTTTTTTTTTAAGGAAAAATGCGTCAGTTTTTGTCTCTTTCTAGCAGGCCACGCGTTTTTTTTCTTTTTCTTCTTTTTTCTTTTTTTCTTCTCGCTAACTCCCGAAGCTGGTTTAAAGTAAATGCATTTGCAAGGTTAGCTTCTGGGGTAAATAGCAACCAACTTAAACACTTGTCAAACATCATCATTGCTCGAAAAACAGGAATTAGGGCTGTTGGTCAACACGGTCAATCCCATTGTTATCATCATCATTACCCGCTTCAACGTTAAATTCAGTTTACAGCTGGACATACAAAAAGATATTTCATTTCTCATTGAAGTCTGGTTCACTTGCGTCACGCACATCTGAGAATTGCGTCAGCCGTAATAGCTGGTGAGATTAAGCTGCAATAATTCAAATGTATGTTACTTGTAGGAACACAAGGAAATTAACGAGTATATTTCGAACTGATTTTATTAAGGTTAAATATGGTTTCCTCCATTTTCCTAGTGATTATCTGACATGAAATATTAAAACGGATTTAGTTCGAATGATTAAAACATTTTGGTGGATTTCAATTTTTCTCTTTCCTTCACGTTCAGAAAATCGAGAATATTATATACCGTATATACTCGCGTATCGTGCGAACTTTTGAGACCTAATTTTGAAGCTAATTTGAATACAGTAAATGGATATATAGTTTGGTCAGCAGTACATATGCTAATATTATATCACGTGTATGATCCGACCCCTTAAAATTCGCTTCAAAATTAGGTCTTCAAATGTCGCATGATACGCGAGTATATACGGTATATTACTTCAAAAGTTATTATAGTGGAAGTGAAATAATGAAGATGTCATATTAAAAATAAATCCATTAATTCTTATACTGAGTCCACCAAAAAAATGTCTACACACTTCAGGATAGGAAAAACTTGTCTTTCGTATTTTTATCAAATTGCGATAGCACTGTTTACTGTAGTACGATATTTTCTCGGCAGATGGCATTAGTTTCATGTTCCTCAACTAAGGTCAGTCATGTACCATGCGAGATACACGCTTAGGCGATCATGTATCGAAAGATACATGACTGACGAGGCAGATTTTTCCAGCAGTCGGTTGCCATTTCTTTCTGCTGGGAGAAGAGGATTCATATCTTCCCCACTTAGAACCTAAGTGAATGTAATGGATTCGACTGGAATTCGAACTCGGCTCTCCGATTCCTCAATCCGAGCCGCTATCCCTTACTCCACCGTGCCTCCCAATGTGTATTAATCTCGTGATATCTGAGTAAATTTAGTATTACAATATCAATGCAAGTTTTTCCTTTCTATACATTTTTGAAAGCACTCTGGATGTTACCGTTATAAACATAAACTTCAATACCCTGATACTTAACATACCACCAAGCCAGGTAAAATAAAACTGCTAAATAAGAAAAATGAAATAATGGGTAATTGAAGACACCTAAACAAATATTTACTTTACCATTTAAGCGTTAATTTTCTTTTCCTTTTTATAAATTATTTAAACAAAAAAATAATTAAGAAGCATTAATATTTTTTAAAAATAAATGAAAAAAACAACAAAAACTATACCTATATTTATCAAAGAACCCCAAACATTCTAGAAAAGAAGTTATGCTGTCTGTAATATCGGAAATGACTTTGTTACACCAAGTCTAAAGAGAGTAAAAAGAGCAGGGAGAAAGTATAAGTAGACAAGAAAATGATGGAAAAGATAAATTCTCTCTCTCTCTCACTCACTCACACTCACACTCACACTCACACACACAAATCAACTTTACACCAATAACTAGCGCATAAATTAATTTTTAAAAAATAACGAAAATGAGAAAATCTGCAGTCAATTGCTGAAGCCTCCCGTCGAATGAAAAGAACAATTACTGAACGGTTCGTTTTACGAAATTCCAGAGTTGAGACGCTGAATATAACATCAATCAACTAAGTGACGAATTTTATTAATATTATATAGATTGTTCGATCTTTCTTGTCTATTCTACTATCGTGATACTGTAAATAAATGACTTTCACTGGAACTAATTAATATCGCTTATTCCATGATAAAAGCCAGAATTATGAGTGCAAAACAGGAAGTGTCATTTCATTTAAGAGATTTATACGACACAATTTTATTAGACAAACTCAGAATGAAATAACTAGTAAAAATCATAGAAGACCAGGAGAAAGCAACCGACAAATTCGGAAATTGATAACATTTTTTTTTTTCGTACGAATCGTGTACTTTCAGGACTGCCCTGTAAACAATTTAGTTTTAGACACATTTATCGATTTTAAAAATTGTAAATTTCCATCTTATCCACCAATGCACCATTACTACTGTTTTTTTTTTTTTTTTTTTTTTTTTTTTTTTCAGTGAATAAAAACTTCGTTCAGAAAAAGGATGACACTTATCAACCTATTCTAGTTTTCTTTCGCCTTCATTACTACCTCTGAAGAAACTCTTAACGTATTAAGGGATTGTCATATCGGGTATTTTAATATATGTGACTTGGAGCATCATGCAGAATTTACAGACAGGGAACATAAACATGTCGGATGACTTAACACTAAAACAACTCTACACTGCTGACATTCCGGATGCAATCAAACAGTTAGGGATGAATTACGAAAACTTGAAACAAGTTGCCGACTACTGCGAAACAAACTACAATGAGGTAAGGAAAGCACTTATCTTATTTTTTTTTCTTTCTATTTCTCTCTCTCTCTCTCTCTCTCTCCTTTTCTTTTCCTTTCCCTCTCTCTCTCTCTCTTTTTCTTTTTCCTTTCCCCTCTCTCTCTCTCTCTCCTTTTCTTTTCCTTTCCCCTCTCTCTCTCTCTCTCTCTCTCCTTTTCTTTTCCTTTCCCTCTCTCTCTCTCTCTCTCTCCTTTTCTTTTCCTTTCCCCTCTCTCTCTCTCTCTCTCTCTCCTTTTCTTTTCCTTTCCCCTCTCTCTATTCCCTCCCTCTCTATATATATATTCCCTCCCTCTCTCTTCCCTCCCCCTCTTACTCCCTTTCTTTTCCCCCTCTTTTTTCTTCTCTCGTTCTCTCTTTTTATCTCTCGTTCTCTCTTTCTCTTTCTTTCTCTCTCTCTCTCTCTCTCACACTCACTCACAACTTTTCCTATCTCCAAAAAGTATTTGCTATTGTTCTACGTCAACTACTTGTCTCATTTTTTACATTACTGGACAGTGTTATCTATGCATCCCATTCGCCATACTTCGAAAAGTCATTCACTCTTTTCTAAGATGTTCCGATTCCAAAAATTGCATTTCAGTTTGTGAAAATATCGAAATTCTAACACGTTGTATTTGCCAATCTTTCGTTCATTCTTGAAAACTTAAAATCCCCTCCAGGACTTAATAATTCTTAGAGTGGGTGAATTCTTAATATAGTGATAATTTTCTCTTAATTTTTATATTCAAACATTTGAATTTCCTCAAGTTTTCAGTACAAAGGCCACATAGTATGTGGTGAATATTTTTGAGGGTCAAAGTCAGAAAGAAAACTGAACAAAGTTTAAAATAATGAATAAGTTTATCTTATATGTTAGTTTGACAAATTGTGACTCGTTTCATCCGTTAGAATTATCATCGAACTGGGCTTTGTTGATGTTATGTCTGCATAGGCACACGAAACGAGAGACAGTTGAAGTTTCAAAATTTCTTTCGTTTCGTGCGCATGTGTAGATGTGGCAACATCAACAAAGCCCAATCCGAGGACATGCAATTTATCACACTATTTTTTTTAAATACTGTTTGTTGATATACAACATTATATATATAATCCGCATAATATAAAATTTAGAAAAAACGAAACCAAAATGTAACAAAGAAATAAAATCTTGTAGCGAACCAAATGTAGCCCTCAGTAGTTTGGAAACACCTAAGTTTTAAATATATATATTTGGACACCAGTTTGAGTCTCGTGATATTCAGTCCTCAATGCCCAACATGCCCCACATGTCCCCATTGACTAGTTTTCATCAATACTTGTAACATGATTTTACAAAAGTGAATCGATAGTTTCCGTAGCAGATAATGAAGTTGAACGGAACAACAAGCAAAGTTACTCTTAAATGTACATTGCGACTATCGAATATACAAGCAGTCGTTTCGTACAGCTATTGTTATATTTTAAATGTAAACATGTACAAATAAAAGAATTATGTAAATGAGCAATGTCTATGCCTGACAGTTCATTTATAAAGAAGCGATTATACAGCTTATGGAGATTCAAGCTATGTAACGGTTGTCGAAAAGGAAAGCGGAATTTGCTAACTGGGTTCGTGCTATACACTGGGGCCTTTAGAAAGACATTAATACACTATCTCTCTTAGATATCTGAACAAACTGTCGTGTCATTTGTCTGCAATGGTGATTGATGGTGGCGGGGATGTGCTTGTGAAGACAGACTAACCGCTCTCTCCTGAATACCTGGCCTTCTCAAGCAGATGTAACTAAAACTCTTATCTATATAACAGTTTTGTCAACCTCAACAAGTATCGGTTATGCGACTTATTTATATGATCAATAAAAAGACATTAAGAGTTACTGTTAAGAATATATCGATAGAATGTTTGATGACCAAATGGCAATTACTTGTAGGAACACCAGGTGTGCGCAACAGAAAACATGTTTCAGACTGAAATCATTGTTTTCTCTCTCCCGCTTTTTTTTCTCTCTCTCTCCCGCTTTTTTTTCTCTCTCTCTCCCGCTTTTTTCTCTCTCTCCCGCTTTTTTTTCTCTCTCTCTCTCTCTCTCCCTTTTTTTCTCTCTCTCTCTCTCTCTCTCCCCTTTTTTCTCTCTCTCTCTCTCCCTTTTTTTCTCTCTCTCTTTTTTTTTCTCTCTCTCTCTCCCTTTTTCTCTCTCTCTCTCTCCCCCTTTCTTTATCTCTCTCTCTCTCTCTCCCCTTTCTTTCTCTCTCTCCCCTTTTCTTTCTCTCTCTCCCCCCTTTCTTTCTCTCTCTCCCTTTCTTTCTCTCTCTCCCCCTTTCTTTCTCTCTCTCCCCCTTTCTTTCTCTCTCTCCCTTTCTTTCTCTCTCTCCCCTTTCTTTCTTTCTCCCCTTCTCTCTCCCCCCTTTCTTTCTCTCTCTCTCCCCTTTCTCTCTCTCCCCCCCTTTCTTTCCCCCCTTTCTTTCTCAATTTTTCTGTTGTGTTCTACTTCAAGGCAAATATATATATATATATATATATATATATATATATATATATATATATATATATATATATAATTTGAGTAAATGGCGCTCCTGCTCTAAATCTTGAGATTTCTTGACAAAATTCAAAGAAGAGTTTGTAATCTTTCCTGACCAGGCGTCTTGACTACAGACATTTTCACATAGACATGAAGTGGCTTCCCTATGTCTTTTTCTACAAGTAATTTCATGGCAACTACTCTAATGAGCTTTTTTCCCTGGTGTTCCGACTGCATGAATGTAAACATGCTACTAGATTGGCAACTAGGTCTCATAGGCCAACCGTGGAACTCCTTCTGATTTCTTGCTTCCTTGATAACTACAATCTTCAAAAATTTTAATGCAACGTCTTCTGACTTCTTGAGCTCTGTTCTTTTTTTCTTTTCTTGTCCTCAATCCTTCCGTTTCTCAGTTTTCACTTTCACTCCCTGTAACCCCTGCGTTCTAATGGCATTATCACCTTACTTGGGGGGGGAAACGATTAAAAAAGAAATGTTCGCCTATTGTTCAATTCTCACTCCCCCCCACGGTTTTTTTTAACAGAATAGAGGTTTATCCCTTGTTTCCTGCTTAGGATTAGTCTTCCGGTCCCTTCTAAAGTCTTCTCATTCTCTTTTGCTCCCAATAGCCTCTTGCGTCTTAGTAGCATTATCACTTTGCTTGGGTAATATTAAAAAATATTTGTAAAATCATGTCACTCGTATTGATGAAAATAATTCTGTTGGGACATGATGAGAACATTGAGAACTGACTAGCGTGTGACTCGGACTGTTGTCCTGCTAATTCCGAAATTGCGGTTTCCCCAAACTGCAATATATGGGCTTCATCCGAGTTTGCACAAGATTTTAATTCTTTTTATCTCTCTTCTATTCTTCGAAATAATATGTCATGCCGATTATTAAAAAAAATATCCAAGTAAAACTTATTCCTTCAAATTTATTTATTCCTTCACTTGTTTTCTTTAGCCCTCATTAATATTTCATGCGGGGCTTGGTAGAAAAGTTCATAGGCTGACCAAGATACTCTCATAATTAAATGAGGTTTATTTTTCAATATAGTACCCCTTGCGACCCACGCTTGAATCCCATTGATGAAGACGCTTCCACCTTGTTGGTCAAAAAAAAGTCAACAACAACAGAAATTACGTCATCATCATTGCGATACTCCTTCACAGCCAAGTGTTTTCATGTTGGGGAACAAACGATATTCAGATGGGGACCAAATCAGGAGAATAGGGAATGTGATCAACCAGTTCAAATCCACAGTGACGCATAGCAACTTGTTTGCTGGAGTATTATCCTGATGAAACAAGACTTCATTCGTCAGTTTTCCTGGGTGTATGTCCTCGATAGTCTTTCGTCACTGTCAACAAGCTGGCATAGTATTCTCCGTTGATGGTGTGGTCATTTTGAATTTAGTCAATAAACACAATGCCTTTTGCATCCGAAACAATTGAGACACATCAACTTCCCTGCAGGTGAAATAATCTTGGCCTTTGGAGCAGTTGAGGAGGAGTGTTTCCACTGCATGGAATGTCTCTTTGTCTATGGCTCAAAGTGACGAACCCAACATTCATCTTGGGTTAGGAGACGTTCAAGGAAACTAGCTGAATCTGCCTCAAACAATGTCACATTTTCCCATGATGTCCTGGTGCGCTTTTAATCAGGTGTCAGAAGACGTATCACTCACCGAATAAAAACCTTTGTTATGCCAAGTTCATTGTGCAGAATATTGTCAATTCTCTCACGGGATATGCTAATAGCAATGGCTATTTGATTTATAGTCAGTCGCCTGTCATGTGGTGAATACGATCAATGCATGATGTTCAGACCTTGGATTATCATCAAGACTCTTCCTTCCCCTCCTAAATTCAGCTGCCCACTTTTGCAGTATTGATAAACCTAGTGTCATCTTCCAATGTAGCAACCATATCAGTATGAATGTCCTTGGGCTGTAAACCCCTTTTCTGCGGGTACTTGATGCCAAATTGTCCATTTTCAAGAGAAGTCGATACTATTTACTTTTAGAAGTTTTCTTTGAACAGTCAGATATCAGTTTACCAGGAAATAACCAATGCAGTTATTAATAAGGAAGTGGAATTAATCCATGCAAGATTTCGCAGCTTTAGTATCACCCTTAATAGTCACCCTATAAAGTTTTAAGCCCACTCTCATATATTGTTGCGTAATAAAAACCATTTTCCTTTTCCCTCTCTCTCTCTCTCTCTCTCTCTCTCTCTCTCTTTCTCCCAGTATACGTCTGTTTAACAGTTAATACTTGAACTAATCCAACTTAAGTATGACTAATGAACCACCTAGTGAGCACCAAAATCATTATCAATGGGCTGCAAGATGCATAACCATTTAACAACAACATGAAAGATTTTATTTGACTAAAGTTGAACCACGTCACATATGCAAGTCATCAAAGCCACTACACAGTAGCAAACAGACCTGGGGGTCTCCACGTTTGCCAATAAGGAAGAATGTTGATCTATTATTTGCTATATCGCTTCAGGAGTTGAGCAATAATAGTTCTCCACAGCTTCCTATCTTTTGTTTGTTTTTATTCTGCTATCCATTCACACAAATCCGTTAAGTAGGCTATTCACTGTTTTCCCTCTACCTCTCTTGCTTTCAACATGACCTGTGTTAAATTCGCCATATACTCTTTCCTCATTGTACCCAAAATTTCAACTTTTTATCTTATTGCAAGCATGTTTCTTTGTAGTTCTTAATTTTCCTGAAACTTCCTCATTATTCACATGATCTGTCCATAGTATTCTCAGCCTTTGTCGGTTGAAGATCTTCGTCGCTTCAAGTCTCTTGTGAATATGTGATGAGATTTTCCAACATTCATTGCCATATTTTCTTTTAACTATTGTTCACCTTATGCAAGACTTAAGATGCTTACTAAATGAAGATTTATGAATTTAGGAGGAGGGGGAGATAAGAAGTGCAGATTATAAGGATATGTACGAAAGATCGGTTGACCTACACTGGAAGAGATTTAGTGATCATCGAATCATCTTCTTTGAAGTCTGTTCACAACGTAGCGGTCTGTGAGAAGAAGCCGTACGGAAGAAACTTCCTCTTTACAAATGGAATACGAAAGGGAATGAGGGTGATTCGTCCCAGTGCGCAGGCTTGGTGGCTCTTAGTTCCACAAATTCAGACCTTTAAAGCTAAGGTATGCCTTTTCAACAAATATTTTCATGGCAACTGCTCTGACGAGCTTTTTTCTCTGGTGCCCTGAATATATGAATTCAAACGTACTAGTAGATTTGCATCTAGGTCCCACCATTTTACTGTTGAAATAGCTAAATGCAACCGCCACTCCAATAGTTTTTCTCGCACTTCTCACCTGTGAAACTCTTCGGTTTCCGTACTTTCCTGATAACCACAATCTTCAAAAATATAAATGCAACGTCAATCACTATCATCTTCTTGAACCCCGTTCAACTTTTGTCCTTTGCTCAATGCTCCCTATTCTCAGTCTCCTCTTTCAATTTTACTCCTTTTCAATCCCTACGTACTAGTGGCATTCCCACTTTGTTTGGGGTGAAATTATTAAAAAATGTAGCTCATCGAAATATTTTCCATGGAAATAGCGACAGAGTAGCGAGAGGCTTGTGTCGTCTCGTCTTTGGAGGAAAGGAGGGTGGAAAATAATTAATTCAACACAAGGCATTTGAACTCTTACCAAGACTGGTAGCTCCAGTCCAAATATGGCAACAGTAATCAGTTTTTGGTCTGATATGACTCTTGTAAAAATGGCAGGAAGAGTTTGATACTTTCTGGAACCGACTATTTTTCCAGCAGCTTTAGCGATAGGACGTGTATATGAATTCCACTTGAGGTCTGGGCCGAACTTTAGTTCCAATAAGCGTTCAAAGCGAGGAGCTTCATTAAGATTACAGCCATTCATTACAACGGGAGAAAGTTCAGAGTCCGTTCGGTGATGGTGAAACGTTACAAGCTTGATCAGACTAGAGATCAGCTACCAGGCTCTAGTCTAATCTAAATAGATTAGATATTACTCGCAGTTCAGTACTTTTTTTTTCTTTGTTGCTAATTAAATTTTCCTACCTCTTAATACTTTACTTAGTTTCGGAAGAGCACTTTTGTCATACCTATGCACTTTCGAATTTCTATGCCACATTTTCTGTAGTTATTACATTATCTAAATATTTAAAACTGTCACCAACCCAATTGTAAAGGAATGTAGTGCAAAAAAGCTATCCAGATGCACTTACAATTGAGGTTACAATAATTACGTACTGAAAATCGCTTAATAAATAGCTTTATAATTTTTTATTCAGTTAATATTTATAGACCGTCGTCTTAATTATTCATATTAAAAATCGTTGTTGGCTAATCTATGTACTGTGTCCCTTCAGGACGTTGGTGATCATGGTTCTCCACAATTTCCTGTCTTTTGTAGCTCTTTTTTCTTTTTTGCTATCTCACCTAAACCCTGTTCTGTTATTCATTTACCCAAGCTCGTTATGTACGTTATGCGTTGTTGTCCTCTATCCGTTTTGCCTTCAATCTGTCCTGTGAGTATCACTTTTTACAAGCCCACTTTCCTCATTAAGTGCTCCAGAAATTTCGACTGTCTCTTTGTGATTTTAAGTATAAGTGACCTTTTTGTGCCTATTATCTCTAAGACTTTGTCGTTGATAGCATGTTCGGTCCATGGTATTCTCAGCATCCTTCTGTAGAACCACGTTTTTGTTGTTTAAAGTCGCTTTTTAATCCGTGAGGAGATTGTCTAGCTTTCACTGCCATACAAGAGGACTGACATATATAACAGTTCAGTACTCTTTTCTTTGTTTCTAAAGAAATTTTCCTGTTTCTTAATACTTTGCTTAGCTTTTGGAAATCAGCTTACGCTATCCCAATAGGCCTTCGGATTTCAGTGCCGCCTTTCCATTCTCTGTTAAAACAGCTCGTATTTATTTAAATTTTTGTAATTGCTTGAACAGTGTTACGGATGTGAAAACGCCACGTTTTAGGTCTTTCTGCTTTCTGCAAGAATCAGTCAGTCTATATGATAATATTATAGCTCTAATAATAATCTTATTCATCTAATCGTCTGTCTGCAGCATCCGTCAGTCTCGTGAGACCCTGGATCTGTTTCTGAAAAGTCTTGCTTCCTCTCCATTGCGTATGGCTAGGTAAGATTTTATGGAAAGCAGTAAATCTGTCTTTACGCCATCTATGACACCCAATGGTAAGGACGAGCACTGATACAGTTTGACACAGGGTAGTTTCCAGAAAGAAAATGAAGATATCATCAGACTACCTTAGGGACACCAACTTCGGATCTCCTCATCAGGATTCACTCCCAAAAATTTTTCCGCAGACAGCCGAGATTTGAATTCAGCATTGCCACTCGTTAAGACTGTTTTCCAACCAAGACTAAATAACCAATCCTGCTTTACTAATAAATGCACAGATGAGTAATGAAACGACAGAATTATGCATATTGCAAGGACAAAGTGAATACAAACTTTCTCAATGGAATTTGAACTCTGGACGACAATTCCATTTTCCGTTTTAACAGTAAGGCAACCTTCATTTAATTATTCATCTAATTATAGTCGCTTTATAATTGCGTCGTCAACGGCTTATGTACTTGTCAAGGGGGAACAAACGTTTTGACAGTTTCAGATTACAGTCAATTCAGCAAGTATCTATACTTTACGAATTGTCTACCGACTATTAACAAAAGCCATTCTAAGTTCCCGGAGGCCCCTTTAAAAATATTCCAAAACATTGACTTCGTTGTCAATCATAATGCACCTTTTTAAGAAAAGAACTGAAGACAGCGTTCCTTTCAAAACAAAACCGCATGATGACTTCGTCAGTATGAAAAGGTGGAATAACAACCAGAAGTGGTTGGGGTAAAGATCAACAAAGACCAGTTGATCTTATCAAGCTTTTCAGAACGGTGAAAAGTCGGAGAGAGTGAAGAAAAGGTAGTCGATGTAGTTAATAGTAATACACTTTGAGATAGAAAGTGATTCATTTGCATTATTCATTGTGTGACCCAAGAGGAAAACGTTCGCGTGGACATACTTAGATAATATAACTATTGAAATCCAAAATGGAACCTTGTCTTTGATACGGTCAATAGCCATGTTACTAAGTTACTGATGATTTACAAGTCTGATTTTGCGGGTAGAAAGGGAGACGTAAGCGGCTGTTGTGTGCGAAAGAAAATGAGCCTATTAAGGAGCGAGAACAATAAAAGAACAGTAATTAAAGCAGACGATAACGATTGACATTGCTATTCATTTTTTTAAAAATAAACGTTGGCTGAAAAGTATGACACTGAAAGATATTTCCACGCGTGAGAAGTGTGATAGAAGAAACTATTAGCATAGAACTTGCGGTTACATATAGCAGTTTCAACTACAAATTGATGAGATCTTGCTGCCATTCTACTACTGCGCTTAAATTCATAAAGTCTTGGTACCATAGAGGAAAATTCATCATAACAATTAACATGGAATTATTTATAGAAAAAGGACAGGGGAAACAATGTTACGGCGATGGGAAAATGATTGAAACCGAGACGCCAGGTAACATTGCAGATTCTTCGTTTTGTTTTATGAAGTATCTCTAAATATATAGCAGGAGAACCAGACCAGACCAATATTCAAAGCAAAGACGAATGGTAAACTTATAAATATGTAAGATAGATTCTATCGAGAGAAAAAATGTCTAGCATGACCTGATGAACCAAAAGAAACGAAATTGTTAACATAAAATTTACGGCTACATCTAGCCAGCACAACAGTAAATTGCTGACACCTTGTCACCATTCCAGTACTGCGCTTAAATTCAAAGAGTCTAGGCACCATATCGAAGAGCTCACCCGAACAATTACCACGAATGTATTTATAGAAAAGGTAAAAGGAAGGCAAACTTACGGCGGTGGGAAAGTGACTGAAGCCGAGACGCCAGATCAAGTCCAATAATATTGTTGATTCTTCGTTGGCTTTTATCAAGGAGCTCTAGATAAATAGCAGAAACATCGGACCATATGTGGCAATAATATTCTAAGCATGGACGAATGGTAGATTTATATATATGTAAGAGAGATTTTGATAAGAAAAATGTCTAGCATGATATCGTGAACCAACTTTCCTACCTGCAGAGTAAGCAATTGATTCAATATAATCTTTTCACTTCATGTTAGCGGAAATCGTTCGTCCGAAAAGCACAATGAGACAGTTTCTTGGAGGTTAGCTTCAGCTATGCTGATGAAAGGCAAAAAGGGTTATCTCAGATGAATAAAAGAGAGCAGTTTCGTTTTTGAGGCGTTAAAATTAACAAGCCATTCTTTGACTCGGTTAACAAGATTGTAGGCATTAATGCGTTATACTGAAAACCAATATCTTGTACTATTGCTAATTTATTTCTTTTGCAACCTACCGTTGAACATGCTAAACAATTATGTAATCAGTTTTTTTCTTCAAAGATTTCTTACATTTTTTTTACTGTTTTGCACATTTAATAATCCTAGTATGTTACAAGAGCTCGTTCTAGTAATCTAACATATTGACGTGGAAAGTATAATCGATGAGTCGTATTCCAATTCCGGGTTAGTCTGTTGCATTCACTTTCACATAAATACTCTTCGCAAAGTCAACCGTCTATTCTCCTGCTACTTCGATTAACTACATCTTGGTACTGGTCTGCTATAAGGCTCTCTTTTCGATCTTACACTTTCCCTGCTTTGTATTAACGATCTGCTTAATAACATCCTCAGATTCGCTTATGGCCACAGCCCGTTGAAACATCGGTTCCCGTACGATCACCAAAGTTAAGCAACTTCAAGCCTTGAGAATACCTCGATGGGTGATTGCTTAAGAATACCAGGTGCTGTAAGCTTGGATGTGTACGTGGCGTAAAGGATAATGGCTCAGAATTGTTAGTCAGACAGCAGACTTCCAATATGAAGCTACTTTTCTCTCCAGCTATGGGTTAATTAGTAAGAGTTGTTTCACCAAACCATTATCAAAAAAAATTCTAAAAACTTTTCCGTTTTTAAAAAACCTGCAAAGGGTTAAGCCGTATAAAACGAAACAATTATTCAATCTAAGAACATCCTCAGATGCGTTGTAAGTATAAGTGCAGATGATGTCATATCTGGGCAGGTGCTGTCTTGTCCCACCTGATTGTGCAGCCTTGTGAGTGATTAATTATTTTTCACCCCGTAATCCTTATCTCACAGACGAAAGTTTGCCAACTTATTACTCTATAGCTATTCAATCAGTGATACACGCTTAGGCGATCATGTATCTTTCGATACATGACTGACGAGGTTGCCATTTTTTTCTGCGGTAGACCAGTTGGCATCCAAGGCTATTTACCCATAGCTGGAGGGAGAAGAAGAGGATTCATACCTTTCCCAAGGGTATTAGGCCGTAAGTGAATGTAATGAATTTGACTGGAATTTAAACTCCGATTCCTCACACAGAGCCGCTATCCATTACTCCACCGTGCCTCCCTAGATATAGCTATTACTATGACAAATGTTCTAAGAAATTAGATTTGATAGTCTCACCAGACGAGACATTCGCATCTAAGACCCGCTACTTCTTGTTGACGGTGGCAAATCATCCCCCATACCGTTCGTGTTCCTTTAGCAAGGGGTAAGCCTAGAACTTTGTGGAACAGACTTCCGAGAGGGTGCTTCCCTTACCACTAATCTCTTCAATATGGATTCAACCATTATCTATCTTATCAGTCCTCATATGTACTTCCTACTTCCTCTGAACAATCCCACAATATAACCCTCTACCTTGAGTGGTCCTTGAGCCTTGTATTTGGTAAAATAACAGTAAAAAACATGATCCGCTAGACTAGGCTGTTATTCATCTTGTGGTAAGATATTTTATTTTTTCTGTAACTATTTCCTGTATGCTTGTTTTCTTACACTGACAATGGTCGATGTAATCGTCTTTATTATGACAATGGCTTATTATTGCAAGATGTTTACGAAGACTGGGGATGATAAAACAAACTTTGTAAAAGAAGAGAGGACAACAATAACTAGAAACAATATATTTAGAAACTTACATGTGGAAAAATAACCCGAGTATCAAATCCAAACACTTTTCCAGCCAATTTGAAATTGGATTATCGTAAAAGACTTCTGTCGGCTTCATGACCTTTCATATTCTTAAGGCCGTGTGTATGTGTTTGTTCCACGCTGTTTACATTCATGCTAATTTGTTTTCTGAAGCTTGTCATTTTCATTTCAGTTTACGTTCTTTCAGAACTGTTTAAAGACTCTTCTGTCCTGTTGACAAACCTTGTCTTCCTTGTACACACCTAGATACGCGCACACACACACACACACACACACACATATATATATATATATATATATGTACGTGCTGTATCTCTTCAATACGTTGGCGATCATGGCTTTCCTCAATTGATTGCCTTTGTAGTTCTTAATAAATTTTGTCATTTTCCTATCTTAATTCCTGTTCTGCTAACCATTTACAAAAGCCCGTCGAGTAGGTCATGCACTGCTTTCGTCTGTCCCTCTTGTCTTCAATATGCCCTGTGCGCGGCAAATTTTCTAAGCCCTCTTTCCTTTAGACATTTCAAGTATATCTCAAAGTGCTAAGTGTCCTTTTTTGTTACCATAGGGATTAGAATTCCTGCTCACATAAACGTACAATATTTGTAAAGGTATACTGAATTTTTTTTTTTTTTTTACAAGTTTTTCCATTTCATTTTCGTTTCGTTTTTGCTTTTTATCACAAAAGTCTTCATTGATACAATCTTCGACCGCTAATTCAAAAATAAGTAGCATTTCTGCCATCTACACTGCAAATGGCCTTTTACCACTTGAAATCTCATTAAATAATCCGCAATATATATATATATATATATATATATATATATGGTATCAAATGATAATTGGAAAAAAATCTTACATTTTGCCGACGCGTTTCTTGTCCACAGAATTCATCTGGGAATTTAACTATATATATATATATATATATATATATATATATATAAGGATTTACGAAGCTTTGCTTAGAGATGGCACAAGGCTGGAAGTGTGGAGCACCCAGTGAGGTTTGAAGTCGCTACTCAGTCGTAATAGATATAAAACAAACAAGCTTGCTAGCCATTGCACGACGTCGAATTGGCCAGCGACTTGGTAAGCGTAGCACAAGCCCGAAAGTATGGAGTACCCAGTGAGGATCGAACACGCTATTCAATCATAATTAATCTAGAAGGGATAAGCCTGGTAGCCACTACACCACGACCAAATGCCCGATGATTTACTAAATATAGCTTAGATGTGGCACGTGGCCGAAAATGTGGGGCACCCCGTGAGGACTAAACTCGCAAATTAGTCGTAATTATTTAGCAAGTCAAGCTTTTTGACCATTAAACCACATCGAAGTACCTAAATAAGCATACACACACACATATATATATATATATATATATATATATATATATATGGGGGGGTAATTATCCAAGTAGATCCTATTGATATAAAATATTATAACTGATCCACAAACGTGAGCTCAATATAATTTTTATTATAGAGCATGTATATATATATATATATATATATATATATATATATATATATATATATATATATACGGAGAGAGAGAGAGCCGAGTTCGAATTCCAGTCGAATCCATTACATTCACTTACGTGCTAATACCCTTGGGAAAGGTATGAATCCTTTTCTTCTCCCTCCAGCTATGGGTAAAATAGCAGGACAGACTGGGTTCTATAGCCTTGGATGGCAACTGGTCTAGGAGAAGGACAACTCTGAATTCAAAACCTGCGGAGGGTCGTTTGGGTACCTTGTGGCACTTAGTGCGCCAGGTCTCTGTATTCGTCCCTTCAAAAAGCGTGGATGGCCCTGCACGAAGCCTTCACCACTATAATCAAATCTCATGTGCCGTTGTCGGTCTGTCGGTTTCCTGAAAACTGATCTGCTTGGCCCTCATACGTCGAATTCGACGAGAGAGTCGACTACATAAGTGCAGCCCGATGCAACCAGGTTTGCCAGATCACGCCTACCACAATCCGCTTTGAGCCGCGAGGTAAACGCTTCTGTCCAAGTGTGTGGTCTTCTCAGTCGCGCAGAGTTGTCCACCAAAATCAAATTCACACAGATGGTCTCGCCAAACTCTTTGATTCACAGCCATCTCCTCCACCAGGGAAAGGGAATAGCAGGGAGAGGAGGACGATGTTGTATAATCCTTTTCACACATTTCTTAAAAATGTAATTTAATATATGCTACCTGAAAAAAAATATCTAAAAGGTGATTTGCAAAGAATGTGTATAAAACGAGTTAAGAAGCTAAATGGGAATAACTGGGTCACATTCCAAAATAAGATATAAATATGTTACAATGAATAGTTTCGTATTTTCTATATAGTTTCCAAATCAAGTTTGCTTCTTAAATACGGTAGTAGTTGATGCAGACACCTGATAATTCAGCGTATTTCATTAGCTCCCTTGTTTTGGGGGTATTTTTTTTTGTTTTTTGGGGTTTTTTTTTACTACATCATAAAGTCAGTTTATGAACCAGTAACAAACTTTTACCAAACAATTCAGATATGCTTTTGAATATTTACTATAAATTTGGTGAATGTGTAATTTCTTTCCCGACATGAAAGATTTTAGAAGAATTTGCATGACCTCAAAAAGTTGGGAATCCCTGTGTTGAAGTAACACTTCTATTGCGATTGGCTCTCAAGCTAAGAAAATTTTTAAAATAAGATCGGTTTATATGTAAGCATATATTAATTCGTCTTCATTTATATAAGATACAAAGAAAAGGGTTATTTATTTTCAATTAATATTACTTAAAAATTCATTTTGGCGAAACGCCAGAATTTTTAAAATCTTTTTTCGAGAAGAGAACTTTTCGGCACCCTTCGTACATCTGGAAAACTGTCAAACTGTTCGGACAAAACAAAGCAAATGAATAAAATTTGTGTTTACTAGGACAAAGAAAAAAGCGCTTGTGGGTGGGGAGTGCCAGTTAATTCTGCAGACTGTCTAACCTAAGATTGATGACATGTTGGAATCAACAATGAAAAGTTTTTAATATCACTGCTTTGTATCGCTGTCTGAAAAAGATGCCATTTTCCCTTACCTTATTTCACCTATTTTCTCCTTTTTTTTCTCTTTCATTTTTTTCTCTTCTTTTTTTTTCTTTTGTCACTACCTTATGAATGCTTTCTTGTGTCATTGTCAGAATTGACACGCACAATGTCCAAATCTGTTTATATCTATCTTTTAAGCCTTTTCCTTCAAGTAATGGTTAGCAGTCTGGTTTTACAGGTCTGAGAGCGTATGTGGTTTTCGAGTTATTCTAGGGGGATTAATCTTGTGCCAGACTAAGCTTACCAGCGTTTTTCGAACAATTTTTACTGCGACCCATAGCAAGAATCACATTGTGCATTGTGATCCATTATACCTACGTGTAATAAATCAGACAAACTCTGTTTACTAGGATCCTTTATTTAGCATCGATAATTTATATGTAGATTTCTTATGGTCCGCACATATTGGAATTGCTTGTATCTATTTGTATATAAAATGATTACTTTTAGAAAAACAAATTTAAAGGAAATTCCATCACTCAGTTTGACGAACCAGATACATGAACTCGGTGAGAGCAGATATATATAATTATATCTAGAAAAGTAAAATATAATACGAGCTTACCTCGGTGAAAACTAGCGATGATTTATGAGTTCTGCGCAACATTTAAAGTTGTTTATATTCTACACTTTGCTCTCACTTGCGTATTTTTTGTTTGCCTCGACCCATTTTATTTATCTCGCGACCCACTGAAGTGTCGGGACCCACAGTTTGAAAAACGC